AATAAGCTGCTATTGACATTGTGGAGTTGGTCGAGATTATAGTGAGGAATGATTCATTGTGCAAAGCTTGTGAGAATTGCATAACAATAGAACGTCATTAATGTAAGGGATTACTTAGCGATCTCGAATACTCGGCAAGATGTCGAAGGGACAGTACCACTGCGTAAGTTTATCGTGACGTGCAATAATGACTGGTACCGCATAAAATGACAAATATCTAAATACTATGCCATCTTATCAGCGTTTCACCCAGCCGCAAATGAACTACCGATTGACGAACCATCGTGACTGATAGAATGTGGTGCTTGTGAGTGCTATAAGAAGCGTCAGTGGGTCCGCAAACGAGAAGCAAGATTATGGTGGCGTCAACTACAGCAAGCTGCTGCGAAATGGTGCAACAGTTCCTGCTGCAGGTCTACTGTCGTCAAAAAAGGAGCAGTTATCCGTCAAATGGTGCGCTCACTAATTGGGGTATCTTCTTCCAACTACGCATAGCCCTCACAGCTTTACGGACAAGAAAGATTGCCGAGGATGACATTCAAGTGCTATTCCATTTATAGTATAGTCCCTACCTCGCGACTACTTACCCTTTTCGCTCGCTGGAATATATCGTGATTAGTGCAGTGCTCGCAAATATTTCTCATATTCTTCACTTGTCAACCCTCAGAGCAGCGAGAAGAGCATCTACCAGGCTTTACAGGAAGGAGACTGACTATGGAAGTATGTTATTTGTAGCATTCCATTCCTGTTCATAGTTATCGCCTTAAGCATTCTTTGCAGCATGTATTGGAGAACTTATTTGAAAGCTAATTTGGTTGTCTACATGATTGGATGAAGCTATCCCAGCTATAGTCGGGAAGTAGACGTTATCTAATTTGCCTGATCTATACAAAATCGCACCGCCCGCCGCTGCTACAATCATTTTGAAGAAGGAGATACAACCCTTGAAAATAGTGAGCGCGCCTAAAATGGAGTCGATAATGAAGAGGTGCGCTACTCCCTCAAAGAGGATCCTGAAACATAAAAATTTGGCGGTAAGAAGCTTCGGCTTCTTAGCATCTCAGAGCTTTGATCAGCAAGCGCTTGCTCAATAGATTCTTTACCATCTGTCCGATGCCGCCAGTTACTGCCGAGTGAACATCTGCTAATCTCTTTTGCTTTATCCACAGAAAATTTTTTTTCTAAAAATTTAATTTCTGTGTATGAAAGCTGAATCTACGATACTTTAAGAAGGCGCGCCTTCTGACTACCATGAGAAGAACAGCCACCTTCCCAAGACCAAAACGCGATTATCGGCCATCGATTACTTCACCGTACACAAGAGATTGGATTGGCACCCGCGATTCGAGAAAAACGCTGGAGACGTGCAAACTTGTACTTTATGAATTCGCGGCACGTCAAGCTTAACTACTCAGTAAAAATTAGCCAGATTGGAACTGCAAGTAGTTTCCCACTCAGCACATAGCCCCGACCTCTGGCCAATGCGAGTAAAGCTATTTCGCTTCCCAAAATAGTTCCTGATTGGAAGAGGGTTCAATAAACAAGACGATCTCAAAACCGCCCTTGACGACTTCTTTTGCGCCCGGCCACCCGACTTCTGGAGAAGAGGCGTCGAAAAACTGCTGGGTGCGCAAAGGTTATTGGCATCCGCGGTGATTATAATATTGATTGAGGTGGCGTTGTAATAAAGTTATAAATAATCGAAGTTGGTGAAAATTTTCGGACAGAACTTTTGAAACAACAAGTGCACATGCAACAATGAAATATATACTTAGATTGAGGGCAGTGCAGACTTTTTGGCTTATTCGCTTACCTCAGGAGGAGTGTAAGTCCAACGAGTTCCAAAAAGGTTAATAAAAAGGTAATAAGATACCATAAATGTTGCATCAAAATAATATAAGGCAGATGTTAATGCATAGTCACGAGTCCTATAACGCATATTTACGAGGTAATCAAATATAAGATGTTACCCATCAAAAATCCCCTACTCTTAATTCAGGGGGATGGTACATCGAAGCTAACAAAAATGAGACTCTTCTGTAATGATGGAGTTAAATAAATCAATATTTGCCTTTCACCGGAGTTTAGCGGGAAGCATTACTATGAAAGCATTACTAAGAAAGCAGGTTGAATTCGTACTCAGCAATAATGTCTGAAATTCCCAGTACTGCTTCCGCTCTGAGCTCTATATTATCACCGGATGCCGATTTGGTGTAAAGTTGTCAGCCGCCCTCATAGCATTGGGGACTGCTATGACTATTCAAATGCATGTTCCGCCCAACCACTACCGCGCGCTGGCATCCATCCAAGTCTCGTATAGGACGTGCATCAAAGGAAGATGTATAGAAGTAGGGAATCCGTATTCACAAATGAATGGTCTATCACAAAGTATATTGTATGAAACAAGACTAAATTTGTTCCCATTTCATCCATTTCTAAGTGAAGTTCGATAAAGTCCAAATATTCTATTTTTGAATTCAATGTAACGGGACTTCCTGTAAGTCCTAAAAACTTCTGACGTAAGTGTATCAATAAGTATATATCTAGGTATGTTAGAAAGCCAATGTGGGTACCTAACGACCTAAAAACTGTAACTGTCTGACCTAAAAAATGTAACTGTCTATCTTGAAGGTTAAAATTAATGTTATTGTTAGAAGTTTCAATTGTAAGATCAAGAAGTTCGCCATTTTATCATTTGTATTTGTGCGCTCTATTTCAACAAAAGGATGGTGAATTTCCGACATGGTATTATCAAACTCATCGGCTGAGTTAGAGACATGAAGTATGTCATCTATGTATTTGTAAGGGTGATTGTACATGTATCTACCATTATAATTTATAATTGTAGCTTGTCTTCTCATGAAGTCATACTCCATGTATGCTAATGTAAAGTCTGCAATTTGGGGATGACATAGTCCCCTGGGGTATGCCTCTCATTTGTTGGTGGATTGCACCACCAAAATACAGGGAGCTTGATTGCAATAAGGAGTCCACCTATAAAAATATCTTCCACTTGATAAAATTTACCCTGTGTGGCATTAGTACTAGCATACATTACCTAGTTATTATGAATTTGATGTACCTATAACCTCACATACGTAGGCTAATGAGTATTCTGAGATTGGATCTAACCACTTGGTGAGGTAAGCTTTTCAATAAGCTAGAGAAATTTGCTGAATATAAGTTCAATCTACCTTTGCTGCACATAAATCTCTTACAACTTAATTGCTATTTTCTATAGACCCTAGGTGTTTGACTTTTGTTTTCTGCCAAATAACGTTGCAGTTTTGTGGTGTTTTTTTGATATGTGTTAGTATCAATAGTATTGTATTGGTAAGTGGCTTAAGTATACTTTTTCTAGCCCCTGTTATGAATCTGATTTTATTGGGTTTTTGTGCATTTTAGGGATGCCGTATATTCTAGGGATGTCATTGAACTCGGAATTAAATCTGATATTCAGTCCACTGAGGATCATCTTGTTTTGTATGAATTTCCTCTTTCTTCTTGAAGTGCAATTGTTTCTAGTTGTTCTTCATCAAACAAATTGTATAATTTTGGTTTTAATTTGTCGTTAAACTGCCTTCTTATATCATTTACTATCTGCACTGTGATCAAGTTATTTGCTTTGAGTTTGCAAATGTGTTTATTCGTTAACTCATTAATCAACTTATCTAATGTTAGTTTAATATCTGTTCTAGTGACCAAAGTGTGTCCTTGTAATTTGTTCCTTTCCTCAACATTTCTCTCACTTTATAATCTTTTATAAATTAGCTTTATAAAATTAAAATTATGAAATTATTATTTTAGAATTTAGACTTCAAAACCTTTTCAAAAACTTGATCCTCGTAATCTAATATACACTGCAGCAAAAAAGCTTTACTCTACATTACAGCTGCCAAGGCTATCCAGAAATAATAGCATAAATTTTTTTAGAATTGGGGGAAGTTTGGGGTCTGAACTGCTCAAAGAGCCCTGGAAATGACATCGCACGGAGTGCATAGATCAGAGGGAAAATATCTAAATATCTATCTGACAACCATCAAAGAGAATAGAAATCTTAATCGAATGATACTTAAGCCATTTTTAAATTAATGCATGGTTACATCGTGGTAATGATCATCTTCTGACGGCCTCTCAATTCAATAAGCAAACAAAATCGTGTGAAACAAGCAAGTAACCGCTAGGTTACCATGAATTCTTTCACGACACCTTGTTTCAAACCAAGCTACAAAGTAATCAAGATGTCTTATCATTTTTCTTACTGGACAGATTGGTGGAAATAGCACGTCATTTCATAAGACTCAGACGTGAAAGTGGTGAATAGCATTTCATTTCATAAGACTCAGACGTGAAAGCATCACATAATGGTTTAGGATAAAGAATTACCCTGACCACTTTTTCATTTGAAACAATGATGATTTCATACGTCAAAAGAAGCGAGGAAGTTTATTTTGAAAGTTACTGTGAGGAAGCTTGCTTGACTACTGTTTAGATTACGATCATGGGAAAATTCAAGTCTATAGACCGAATTGCGAAGGTGGCCAAGCATGAAAATAATTGGAAGTTCAACCTCCACCGGAAACATCGCTTTGCCAAGTATAAAATCGAGTGAAAATCATCTCGCGAATTCGATCGATTACTTCGTGGTTTCATTGAGTACACGATGTAAGCTGCTGGTTACCCCATTTTATGATAACCTGCGGCCGTATTCATCAACGAAACCCGTGGGTTCCGGAACCCACTGGGTTAGTGCTTTTGATGAATATCGATTCTTCCCTGGAGTAGAATCGATATTCATCAAAAGCACTAACCCAGTGGGTTCCAGAACCCACGGGTTTCGTTGATGAATACGGCCACTGGTTAAGATGATGGTTTCGATCAAATTTGCGTTACCACGCATGGTATTATGCTAGCAAATGAGGGTGAGGAGACTCTAATCCCGCTGATTTTTATATTCTATCTTTGCAGAGATGTGCAATAAAAGGTCATTGAAAACACATGATAAAACTTTTATGCAATTCATCAATCAATACTATTGTATCGGAATAGATTATTCGGGACCCGTTATTGATGACAGTTATGGACAACCAATTTCAGTAAGAAAACAGTTCAGATGGTAGTGCATATTGATATCATAGACAAACAAAACTTTCTCGCAGAGATGGCGGATCGCGACAACTGCCACAAGCCTATGCCTTGGGCAAATCTCTTTCTTTGAAAAAATCACTGGGGTTCCTTGTTTGAGTCGCTTGAGCTTTATGTGAGAGTGTGAGACAATCTTTAGGTAGACACTAGCAATGTCCCTCCCCTGAGTTGTTGCCATTCCCCAACTTCCGGGACTTCCCCAAACTGTCAGACCAGCAAACCATTCCCACTAATCACCGGCATTGTTTGCGTGGGAGGCGGTGATGGTTCGTCAGTGAGTTGAAACTCATTAATGGAATGATAATGACCTATGGCAGTACTTCTTTCCTGTGGCTGTATTTCCACCCGGAACTTGCTCTTTTGCCGCGAATCTTCGCCAGCTAACTGTTCCTGAGGCGGTGAAACAGAACTGATCATGCTTTTCTTGGCCATCTGCCAGCTAGGCGCAGGATCAGTTCGCCATCGTCCTGGCCGTGGTGGCGAAGAAGCAACTGGCCATTCAGAGCCACCCGTTGAACCCGGGAATCCCGAGTCTGAACTGCTCACGTCATGGATGACTTCAGCTTGCGTCGTCTCCTCGTTATGGAGGACTGGCGCAGTGAAGGATGGTACGGATTCCTGAATGGGAACTACCATAAGGAGAATGGGATGAATATTCGAAACCAGCGATCAAACCTGGCTTTCTCGGGTTTCGGCCAGGGTCTGGGAGGCTACAGAGTTGAGACCCACTTCTCTTGGTCGCTCGCGAATTCGCTCATACAATCCGGTATCGAGCGCGTATTCCTGAACAATGCTTTTTGATAGATAAAAGTTTTGGAAGCTTGAGTAAGCGTCTCTCCGCTTAGCTAGAGATGCCCATGTTCCAAACCGTGCCAGCGCGTGTCAGTGTCGTGTCAGCACCGTTCCTGCTCGTTAATCAGTGTCGATTGCGCCCACACGCATATGACGTTAGCAGGATGCTGGCACGACGCTGGCACGGGCACTTTGAACACAGCCTTACCGAACGCTCACCTTTCCTATCCGCATATAACCTTCAGCTTCGTCATCTGATTCTCGATGTTCCCTCACACGAAGCAGCGTTTGACTCTTCGGATCGAAACTCACTAAAGACGTTATCGCTCCCGTAGATCTACCAAATTCCTCCTCGTTTGGTCGTTCATCATAGTCGCGCAACTCCTGCGTCGTGAATATTCTACTGGGGAATATAGATAATGATTGACTTACCTCATGCATACTGGCACGGCGTGGTTGTTCAGACGATTTTCGGAAACGTCCACTGGCTGTAGAAGACGACCTCTTCGTAGGAGGTTGTGGCTGAATCTCGTCTTTATCAATCGATTTCACCGAAGAGTATTGATCGAAGTGGGGTTGGGGCTGGAGAAAATAACATATTTTAGTTACCTGATATAACTCTTTGTAGGTTACCATAGAATTTGGTCGCATCCTTGATCTCTTGGTTCTGTTATTCCTTTCATAGGGATACGGTACACTACGTTGATTCTCAGGTAATGGTATCGTCGCCATATCGTCATAGGACGCAGTCATGTAGCCACTCCTGAATTATTTCTTCTCAAATTCTGTCATTTCTTTTGGAAATCTGGGGGTTGAAGGCAATGTTCGGAGCGAACGTATTTAAGAAAAGGGGTGGGCCCTCGATGTCGTTGGGATCTGTTATGGGCGGGCACACTCAAGAAAAGGGGCGGAGCCATTGATGCGATGTTTTTTATGCAGCTAACAAGGGAATGGTCAGAAGTCGAAGTGGCCAATCCATACAAGCTGCATACCATTCGATGCGGCTTAGAATGCTGATTTCAAGTCTGTCTTCCATATCTGCAGAGTGCCTTTGTAGGCGAAGTTATGAGCAGCTTTACTGCGAGAAAATCGCACAAAAAATCGCACAGAAACTGCGGAGGTAGGTACATCATTGCTCTTTTAGCTCACCTCTAGGTACATGCCATATCAAGCGACTTGGTTGCATGTTTTGGTTCAACACTGAGCCGAGAATGGCTTTATACGGCCAAGTTTGCCCTTTTCGCGCACAGATTCTTAGCAAAATAACGACTTTTAACGGCTTATAACTTCGCTTACAAAGGCGCTCTGCAGATACGGAAGACAGATTTGAAATCAGCATTCTATGCTGCATCGAATGGTTTGCAGCTTGCTTGAACTGGCTACTTCGATTTCTGACCATTCCCCTATAAGGAAGTTACGGAAACGTAACCAATGTCCACACATATCGGAATGCTCACTTTGGAATTTTTCGAAATTTAAAAAACCTTCGTGGCCCGCCCCCCTCCCCGTATTTGTCACCAAGTTTCTCGAGGGCAGCGCCCATTTGGCATCAACGAAGCAAAGTATCTTCTTTGGTCCGGTCCATTGATATGGTCCTTTAAAGAGAAAATGAGACCGCAGTCTACGATTTTAGTGCCGCCCGCCCCCATGTCCCGCCCCGCCCATCCATAGATACTGCTGTGTTCTGGCATTTTAAGAATAATCGATACACAATTAGTTTAACTATTTTTGAGGGCGTTCAGGATTTTTACTTTTGTAGGCACGAGAATGACAGGAATGGGGGATCTCGTCAACTTAACAAGAAAAAAATACCCGATATCAGTGGGCGATGACGTCATAGGTTGGCGGTGTTGACGCTTGATTTGTGCATACTGTGCTGGCAATGGCATCTTCGGCCTTTCCTTCTCTCGTCGTCGCTCCAGAATCACTATGATGCTGAGAATCATTGTGATTGCGGCCAGAATCACATGTAGCAGAGCTTGTCCGGCTTCGATTTGGTTATACGGTATTGCACACTGCGGTTGAACCCATTTTGACCTAAATAGGGAGTTTTATTGGTACGGTAAATCATGGAAATCTGCAGGTGACTTCTGCGTACCAAAATACCGACTATTTACGAGTTTCTTATAAAGCGAGTTTGAGGTGAAAAGACTTACTTTTGCAAATCGTAGTGAGCACCGCAAAAAGGTGTATGTCTCAAAAAGAACGAATAAGAGTACGGTAGTCCAGCCGATAATACTGGCCGTGATATATCACCGAAAATTCCAATATACCTGAAAATATGGTTCCGCCCATTAAAATAGGTGGATGCATTGATTAGTCCAACTTACCACAGAAAAACTAGCACATTTTGGCATATAGAGATTACGGTAGAGATTGTCAACGCAATGAGCAGGAATATTCGTTTTTGGCACACACCAAATAGCCCGGTGATACAGCATAGAATCTGTAACATGTCATATTAATAAGAAAACATGGAAACTTAAAGCATGTAAAGAGAAATCTTGCAGAAGTTTTGTACTAATGCACCCTGGGGCCGATAAGATTGCTTAAATACTGAGGCTTTCAAGATTTTCAGGTAGCACTACCTCTCCTAACCACAATCACGAAATTTATAGACTTAATAGCGTTACGCTTCTGAAAGAATCACTTTTCCCCGCACTCCTTTTAAAAATACTTTCGCGACCACTGCATTGGCTGGTAAAGTTTCCATTCACCTTAGATGACACTTGATCTATTGGATTATTAGGCCCGAATCGAATATTCAATTTTTCCGAAAATCTGATTTCTCAATATTATTGCCATCATAGAATATTCTGACATGATATATTTTTGGGATTGCGTATCTGATAATATGCAGTTTTGGCTAGTCTGCTGACATTTTCGCTTAAAGGCAGTGTCTCACCAAAATTTAGTTGCCGAGTTTTTTGCATTTAGCAAGCCTGTCGGAGCCTGTTTAGCACTGTATGGGCCTAAAATCGCACGAAGTTCCCAAAAACCCCGTTTTCTGGAGGCCCCACGAAAGCAACGTGGACGAGTTGTACCTTCCAACTTCAGCCTCAGCCACAGTGGCAGCAACAGAGGGGAGGTGGATGCCAAGTGGAGGGACATGTTCAAACGCGCAAGGGGGAAGACCGAAGGAGTCGTCCGCGCGTACCAACTCGCTCTCTGCGTACCACTTTGAGCGAATTTTTCTCAGCGTGGATGGGGCCAAACTAAGTGGGACTTTTTGCAATGGTCTATTTCGAGGTCCCTATAATAGAATATGTGAAAATCCGCGCGACGTCAACTTTGGTGAGACACTACCTTTAATTATCGTAATATAACCTACAGACAGAGTAAAGTAGAAATGCTAATGGTAACTTGGAATGCTAATTTCAGCATATCAATAAATCACTTCAAAATCTGAAAAAAACATAATAAATATAGTATAAGAAAACACAAAACAGTAACAGAAAACACAAACAAATGACTCGTAAAATATTGACTTGCAAAAAGGCAATGACTTCACTTTTGCTTTATAATGTAACTGTCAACATGACCGCCTTAAATTAACAATAATTTGAATTTTCAAAAAAATGACCTGTTTGTTCTTCAGTGCTGTTTCGCCCTAAACTTTATGTTGGGCATTCATCGCCACTGCCCTTGTTTGAGAACTTTTTTGATTGTTTAGACACCAAAGAATCCAGTTTCTAGATTTTCTGCAGATTCGCTTTCACAAAAGAAGAACCTCCATCTATTTAGGTCCCCATTAGTACCAAACAAACACTTTCCCATTTTCCCACAACTATCAAACTGATAACTCCTGTCCCTAATCACATTAACTCGTTAAACGAAAGTTAAAGGCGTAATCCGTTCGTGGACCAGTTCGTCCACATCCATCAAACTGATGACCCCCACCGCTAATCTGCGACTTCCCTTTCCGGTTGTGATTCTCCTTCATAAAATGTGACCGAAACCAGCAAGCTGTGAGAGTTCGACCTTTATAATGTGGTTGTGTTCGCAGAATTACGACTACTCACGACATCGAAGTATATGAGGCGATACTCGCCAAATTTATGTGTTCACTGAGCGAATTTGACAAGTGCAAGGTTGCAGAGAGGGGGGGGGGGAATGAGGAGGAGGAGGTGAGGAAGTCTAGGACTTGAGTAGTCCGGATTTCTCTTGGAACTGTGACATCGTGGTTTGAGGAAAGAGGGCCAAGGATGGGGATGGCGGGGGGGGGGGTCCATGGTCTGGGTGGTTCAAGAATTCTGCTTTACACAGTGATGGAGAAAAGGGGGAATGGGAGTCCGTAAGCCGGAATTTCGCCGTTTCTTTGATCTTGACGAGTTCGAAATTTCCGGTTTATCTTTCTGACAATATAAGGGAAGAGGGGGGGGGGGGGTGCATGAAACTTTAATGCTTCGAAATTTTTATTTTATTTTTTGACGTCATATCTGCGCGATTTTACGGAACTCAAGGGAAATGTGAAAAGAGGAGGACAACCAAATATTTATGGAATAATGAGAGCGCTCTACAATGCTTAGAGGGAAGCTTGTTTGGTCGAAGTGGCCTTTTTAGATAAAACGTATACGTTATGAAAGAGCATAAAACGCTGCTTCCAGATCTGTCTTCGTTGTTTGCGGAACGTCTATGCACGAGGAGTTATGAGCGATTATTGTAGCAAAAGATTGAACGTGCATATAGGAAAAAATGAACTGATAAAGTCTTAGTACTTTTGAATAAAGCAACCAAGTGTGATATATTTTATCTATCTTAGTATCTACTGAATAAAGCTTTCTGAAGGATGTCATTGATCCTTTAAAGGGCTAGAAAAGATACTGCTTCCATAAACGTCATAATTCCGCGTCCATGAATGTTCCGCAGATAAGGAAGTCAGATTTGGAATCGAGTTTTGTGCCCTCCGATATAGTATACATTTCATCTAAAAAGACCACTTCGACTGAACTTTTCCGAATGGAAGCAGATCTGCTTGAGAAAATTCTTAAGAAATTTGTAAAGGGGTCAAACTGTCTGTATAAATTTTTGTCATATATTATAGCTTCTGAAGATTTAGCGAGCCTTCTCCAGGGGCGGGGTGAGGGGGGGGGGGGGGGAATTAGATCTTCATACTTTATCTGCCCATTAGTTGAAAAAAAATATATAAACTTGGATGTTTGCCACTCTTCCTCCATATCCTTTGTCGAAATGGTTTACAGTCACACTTTATAAGAGATCTAGATGGAAAGCTAATTTTCTACTCCCCCCCCCACTCTAGACTTTCCAGAACGTTCCCGTTTTCATCCATTCTCATAAATCATTCCACATCGCACTATTCAGGTTAGCAGCGATGTCAGAAAAAAGACATCTCGACCTGGTTCACTCTCGCTACATCCCGCTAATTTCGTTTCTTATCGCTGGTTGCTTTACTTGAGATTGGTGACTTATTGATTCTATTGATTGGTCTGGTGAATGGATAATCCCTCGATATGGGAACCTAATGAGTATAATCCGCCCCGGAGAGCATACGGTGGTAACGAAGAGCCTGACATGTTGTTTGTGTAAGCATTGGTAGAGACTGATTGATGTAGACAGCTCAGTCACAGCATTTCTTCACTGGGATATTAAAGTCAAAAAAAAAGACTTAGAAAAGGGGAGGGGAAGGTTTTCCATCTATCCCCCCCTGCCCCAGTCCCGCTTTATTAAGATATATTAGGTCGTTCCGAAAGTTCTTTCCGTTTTTTTCAACCTATCATAAAAACACCTGACATGAAGGTAGGGAAATGCTTCAGGCACTACCCGACGCAGCTTTTCTTCCTCTTTTCAGCTATCATATTTTTGTGTCGCTTGCTCTTGTGGTCAGTGAGATAATGGCCGAAATTCCGAACCCATGGTTTTTACCGTGTCCAAGTTTGGCAATTTCTCACAACCTTCTTTCTCGACTTTTGGAGAAGCTTTGATAGCCATCAGATAGGGTAAACAAAATGCAATTCAATGCAATTTTTCGGCATGTGTAGCTAGCCTTAAAAATCCTTTAGAATTATTTTTTTGATGCTATCAAATTCCACTTTTGGTAATGCCAAGAGCCATAGAACACAAAACGGCGCACAACTAAGGTGTCATTCGATGCAGCTTTTCCTCCTCTTTCCATTGAGTATTTTTCTTCCCAATTTGTGGGGGTTTTTGGCGATAAAATTTTCAAAATTCTTGATTTTGAACCCGCCTAAGGGTGTACACGTGAGATACGAAATCTTATATTTTGAAGCGTTAAACACTCAGTTACTTTGTAAAAATACTGGACAATCATACCCAACTTTTGAAAGTGTCGAAATTCGAAGAATTGTTAATGTTCGGAGAGTTTTTGTGTTTTGTGACTTCGAAAAAGTGAAGACTTCTGGAAAAGTTCTCTCAAAAAATAATGAGAAGCCAGTTGAAATTGCCAAAAAGTTCCATTAAATTGCACTTTGTTTACTCTACCTGACTGCTATCAAAGCTTCTCCAAAAGTCAAGAAAGAAGATTGTGAAAAATTGTCAAACTTGGACACGGTAAAAACCATGGGTTCAGAATTTCGGCCATTATCTCACTGACCACAAGAGCGAACGACACAAGAATATGACAGCTGAAAAGAGGAAGAAAAGCTGCGTCGGGTAGTGCCTAAAGCGTTTCCGCATCCTTATTGCACATGTTTTTATGGTAGGTTGAAAAAACGGAAAGAACTTTCGGAACGACCTAATATGTTATGTTTATATTCCCCTTCCTTCAAGATTTTCGCGTTGATTCAAGAGCTATCCCAGAAAAATGCAGAATTTGGGTATCAAAAGGCACTTTTGTACAGCCCCCCTCCCTCAAAAAATTTTCTTTCATATTCTCACTGATGGGTAAGCCCAATAAAATTCTGATTTGATTTGCAATGCGTATTTCTCGTAAAGCAAAGAAAAACTACTGTCTACCTTATTAGCTTAGAATGAAACCGAAATTGACCAGAAAAAAATAATTGCGAAAACATAATTTTAAGCAAAATCTTCTTTGAAAAATAACAGAAAATTTAGGACTAGACGTGTCTAAGCCCCTCCCCCGCGAAAAATTTCGAGTAAAAATTCTGATTTTTTAAAATAATTTCTACACCACGTCTAAGCCTTGCAGGTATGCATTTTTTTATTCAAAGATGTTTTACATTATTTTTTGCAATTTTATAGAGGCTAGCAATCGGAAAGAAAACAAAAAGATAAAACAAAATAATAAAACTGTTTCAAATGTGTCTAGTCATTTTTGAAAAATCTAATTTTTCAAGTGTTAATTTCTGCTCGAGAAAGCCATTTCTCCAAAATCACCTGCAACACAAAAAATTCCCGTTTCTGGCCCAATACTGTTACGCAGTTAATTTGTCGGAATGTCCATCATAGAATGCGTATAATCCTATTAGTCGATACGATCAAGTGGATATCCCGTTAACCTAGTCTGCT